TGTTGCGCCTTCAGAGAGCTGTAATCTTGCTGGTATTACATGGCGGTTAATGCAATCAGGGCCTGCTGAAATAGCCGGCTTAAACACGATTCTGCTGAATCACCAGGGCTCTGTGTAACTCAGCTCCAAGTGGAAGGCCTGCTCAGGCAGAGTCTGTGTTCTGCCAGTGTCCTGCATACTCCTCTTTGTAGCTGTTTTGAGTAGTGTGTTTGCACAGCGATCTTCTTGCATGGGTGGCAGCCGTGAGAGGTAGCATCCACCATAAAGTCTGCCTTAATGCTGAAGTGAAGGGCTAGCTGTTGTGGGAAGCAAGTAAACCAGTTTGCCTTCCCTCTCAGACCTGATTCTTCCACGAGGTGTGTAGTAGACAGGTCTCTGTGTAGCAACTGCTGCGATCTGCACAGCTTTGATGTGGTATTCTGTAGTAGGTCAGGGTGGTTCAGTCTTATGATATGAATCACGAACCAGTTTGGGAGCCCAGAGGGAATCATACAGCAATAGCCTGTGTGTCAATAAGACAGCTAAGCCCCTGATGTTTATGGGCAGATGAGGAACTGTTTTTCTACAGTAGATGTTGTCAGCCAGGTTAAATCAGTTCGTGCATCAGCTTCAGCTTGCTGCCAGCTGGATTTCTCCAGTCTAGGATCATACTCATTATGGCTTTCCAAATCAAAGTCTTGCCTCTCTGCTCTTCTGAGTTCCCATGCTGCAGTGTTTCTAGAGCATTTCATGAAAGGCTGTCACTTTTTTTTCCTGTTCCCAGTTTAAAGAGAGAGATGCGGAACCTGAGTGAAGAGTGCAATCTGGAGCCGGTTACTGTCTCCATGGCTTATGTTTACTTTGAGAAGCTTGTCCTCCAAGGCAAACTCAACAAACAGAACCGCAAACTGTGTGCTGGTGCTTGCGTTCTGCTTGCAGCCAAGATCAGCAGTGATCTCAGGAAACATGAAGTTAAACACCTTATAGACGTAAGTACTATGAGGCTTGTTTCAGGTGTTGTCAAAACTTTCTCTCTAGCTCATAGAACAAGACAAAGATTAAAGCCAAGATTTTCACCAGTGCATGCTTGCATTTAAGACCAGCTCTTTCAGTCAGTTTTATGTCTCATTAGGGCTTTTCCTTGATTTTTTTTTTTAATTCCTTAAAACTACCCGACTGGTGCAGTCCAATGTCCTACTGATCCCACAGTGAGGTTATTTTTGCACTTACTGTTTCTCGGGCAAACATATGTAACCGTTGTGTGGGTGTCACAGCTGGGCTGATAAGCTGGTTTACTTGTCTGATCCCTGGCAACCCTTTTGATTCTGTAGGTACAGCTCAGGCCATGCATCGGTGACTCCTGTTTTATGCTGACTTAATCTAACAGTGTGTTAGTATCTTGTGGATTAACTGATTCTGTTTCTTCCTCTCCTCTTTTTTGTTATTACTATCATAGAAACTAGAAGAGAGATTCAGATTCAACAGAAGAGATCTCATTGGTTTTGAATTCACCGTCCTCGTAGCTTTGGAACTGGCTCTCTATCTTCCTGAAAACCAAGTTTTACCTCATTACAGACGGCTCACACAACAGTCTTAACCAAAGCTGCGTTCCAGCTGACAGCCAGTGGTGCTGGTGGATCGCATCACTGAACGCTGCTGCTGGAGTTGCCGCTGGCCTTTCTGTGCCGCTGTGTGCGTCCTGCCACGGCCACAGCTAGTTTTGAAGTCTGCAGTGTGTTACTAAACTGTCGAGGTGTGCATTATGGACACGTATGCCAAGTCTGGGGGATGGTACGAGAAGAGTTATTGGACTTTATTTTCTTTTGGACATCTAAAGCACAAATATTCACCAGTCAGCTGTCATGGCTGCTTATTATTCCTTATTTAACTTTTCGGTTTTACTAAAACTGTTCTTCCCTATGAAGAATACTATGGTATTGTTTGGTTTTGTTTTGTTTTTTTTTTTTAAGCCTTTGTTGTATCCTTGAGACTAAAGGAAGCATCACTTCCATTCCAGTGCGCCATAAAGTTCAGATGTTTCTAAGAATCTTCTTGCATTTTTACATTAATGAAATGCATACTTTATTTTTTTAAAGATGTGCCTAAAACTGGCTGGTCTGGTACCAGTGCTTTTTAAGTTAGTTATGTTATTTAGCGGGGAATCCTGAATTTGTATAGCCATTTATTCTTTACCTGCATTGGCCTTGCATATAAGGAAAACAATTCTAGTATATCTGCACTAATGATACACAGGGCATCTATTCTATACTATACTATAGACCTATAAGTAGCAAGATTGAAATTACTCCGTTCCAATTTACTTAACTATTAATACCTTAAGCGTATACACTTTATTTAAAAAAGAAAGATTGTTTGAAAATGTCATGAAGTACCACGTTGAACAAGGTAGCTGCAGCAAAGTGATTGCCATCCTAATTCACTCTTCAGTGGAAGATGAGTGCTTGACTAAGAGCAATTTGCTGTTAATGTATCATTTATGACTTTATTTGTTTCAGTGTTCAATAGTCTGAAATAAGCACCTTTTTAGTAGACTGTATTATATATGGTCTTACATGCTCTGAGCAAATACTTAAGTCAGTAGAGCTGCTGCTGCCAAACTAAGCCAATGTAACAAAGCATGCTCAATATTTAAAATGCTACTTTTTTACTCTGTTCTTCCAAGCATCGCATCACTGTGATGGTCCTCATAAAACTGGCATTTGTTGCACATCTGAACAGCCACTTAATGGCTGGTGCCCAGCAGCACTCTAATGCTTATGCAGAGGTTAAATAACTTCTCTGACCATTGGCTAGTCTTTCATTTATTTTTTTAAATATCCAGGTTGGGAATGAACTCTTATATGTGGAACCTTCTGTGATATTGGCTCTTGGGTTTATTTTCTGAAGCAATATTATGATACAAGTAACTGTGTGTCCATTTGCAAGGAACAAAACTGATGCTTGGCTATTACAACTGAGAAATTTGTAATTTAAGTTTGACTTCTAAATGAAATACTAGACCTCGTACTGAGGTAAGGGACCTGCTATCTAATATGTAAAGTAATGTAAATTCCTGTTCCTTGTATTAAATGTTGGTTGTAGCCAAAACCAAAGCTGAATCTTTGCTCTTCAGCTGTGTTTTGTCTGAAGCTAATTTGGCTTCATTAGAATTGCAGCAAACTTTAACGGAGCCCTTTCCTCTTTAAGGCTCAAAATGTATTTTTCATATATAATAATTACAGTGACTATCAAATCTTTTGTAATTGTGTTCAGCTGTATGTAGCTTCAAGTTATTTGTGTAAAATTTAATATGCTTGTGATTTTTCTCTAACACAGAAGGACTTTCCAGTCTCCATAAGTGAGGTGGTAGCTAATAAGTTAGACAATAAGCTTGCCAGTTATCTTCCAAAAGGTTTAAAAAAAATTGCCTACTAGTTAAACATTCTACTGAATATAACTGTCATTGCATGCAAGAAATAGTGATGCACTAAACAGCTAGCATATAATGAGCCTTCAAATTAGCAAACAGTGGTGAAGACAAGTGGTCCACCACTTCCTAAAATCATTAGGGGAGGGGACAGAGGTAGAACTGAGCGAAGAAATTTTTCACATGGTATCTCTGGAACGAGTAAAGCACTTTGGTTAGTATGAATGAAATGAAATCGGAAAATGGCTTTCTCTGGGAACTTCTTTATTTAGCGTATAAAGAGTTTCCTGTGACAAAATTAACTTTCCTTTCTTACCATCTAAGAAAAAAAAAAAACAAACGCATTTTGGTTTGCAACACTTTGCAGTCTCTATTCAGTGGAAGTTTGTCTAGTTGCAGTGGGCATTACACTCCCAGAATCTACGGTTTGACATCATAAACCGGCAAGCTTTTGTTTTCTCTTTCAGAAGAACAAATTGGGATAAGGAGCATTAAATTACAGAAACCTGAATGTTGTCTAATGGTTACTCTAAACGTGGGCTTGGGCACACACGGTGTTCTTGAGCTCAAAGGCTGTTTGGAGCATGGGCCAAAAACGACGCAGTGGAGTGAACGCTGCGCCTGTGTCTCCGGCGGAGCATGGGTTTGGGGCTGATGCCGTCCAGAGGTGTTGTCTGCAGCTCGTACATTGGTACCTCTGTTGTGCTATCTGTGCAGAAACAGTCCTTCTGCAGGGATACGGTGATCTCTGTATGTGTGTGTATGTATAGGTGTCGATTTTTCTGTTTCTAAAGTGTAGCTTGCAGTCCTGTGTGGGAATATTTATCTTTTCACCTAAAAGCTGCCACCATGTGGCAAAGGAGGCAAAGGACTATTACTACGTTATCCATTAATAAACTGAAAGCGGGATGCAAAACAGGACGTGGATGTCACCGGCTTGGCGTTTTCACAGCCCAGCTCCTCTTGCTTTGACGAGGAACGAGGTTTCGAGGTTTGTGCCGAGGGGGGGTTCTAGCTCTGTGTAACCGTGTAAAGATGCTGATGGGCTGACTCCCTGACGGAGAACCCTCTTGATAAGAGGCTGTACATTTTTATGTAAATGATACTGTTACATTTTTGTCTTAATCCATTATTTAAAAGTCTGAGTTGTAGCCTGTTCCATTGTTTGGGGTTTTTTTTATGTTTGGTTGGGGTTTGTTTTTCCCCTTTCTGACCTTGTGAAATTAAGATGCTGTGAAATAAACACTGTTTTTGGTACGCGTTTTGTAACCAAACGTCTTGTTTCGCAATGGTCTTTCGCTTTCCCTCAGGGCTGCTCCCGCGGCCTGCTCCGCGCTCCGGTCCCTTCCCCTCAGTTTCACCGTGCCCTCACTCTCCTTCAACGAACGGCGGTCCCCGGGGGGGGGTGGTGTCCCGTCCCCCGGGCCGAACGGTGCCGGTGCCCTTCTCCCGGGGCCGCCTCAGCGGGAACGGGGGGGGGGACGGGGGACGGGACGGGGACGGGGCCGCCATGGCGACCGTTTAACGGCTGCGCGCCCTCGCAAGGCCACGCCGGAAGCATTCCGCTCCTTGTGGCGTATTTCCGCTTCCGCCGCCGGTCCTCCTTTTCCGCCGCGGCGCACGCGAGGTAGGAGCGGGCTGGCGGTGCTGCTCCGGAGGGAGAGGCCGGGGAGGCCCGGAGGGGGGCCGGGGGACGATCTTTCCTCGGTTTACTGGGCTGCCGTGAGGCTCGGGGGGAAGGGGCGGCGTGCTCCGGGTCTGGGCCCGCTCCCCGCGGGAGGGGCCCGGGGGTAGCAGCACCCTGGGTAAGCCGGGCCTTGAGGGGACGGCCCGTGAGCCTTGCCTTGCTCCTTGTAGGTGTTAGTTCTCGGCGCCTGTGCCTCAGCGGCAAGCCGAACGAGATGCAGAACGACGCCGGGGAGTTTGTGGATCTCTACGTCCCTCGGAAATGGTGAGCGGTTCCCTTCGGCGGCGAGGGTGCCGGTGGGGGCGGCGGGTCTGCGATGTGCGAACCCCGAGGGGCGGGGACCGTGGCAGTGAACCGCGCCGGAGGCCGATAAACGGTCTATGCAGAAGCAGCTTTTTCCGTCGTAGCGAATATCTGGGGGGGGAGGCCAAAAAAAAAAAAAAAAAAAAAAAAAACAACCAAAAAAACAAGCCCCCAAATCAACCCAAACGCCTCCGCCTGTTTTCTGTCTGTTTCTACATTTCTAAACGCCTTAAATACGTGAAGCAAAGACCAAAGTTTAGGGGAATACTGTGCATCTTCTGTTGAGTAACTGTCAGCCCTGCAGTCACAGCTCATAGGTGGTTCGTTTCAGAAGTAAATGTGCACGCTTGTAACACGCTCGGGTTTCCGTGCGACAAGCTCTCCTTGTGAACCTGTTAAGTCATCGCTTGTTGCTTTGGTAGCACATCTTGAGTACAACTTTGAGGTTCTAGTAAATGGATAGCGAGAAGCTTTTTGTGAATGTGTGTGTTAAAAAAAGAAAAAACACTAAAAGATAAACCATTTGTATGCACGTTATTAGATTTAAGTTGAACGGTTTTTACAACGTGATTTTTGAGGGTTTGCAACCTGAGCGTCTTTTGACAGCTGTAATGGCTCCGAATGAAAAAGGCATAGGAACTGCATTCTCACAAATTACCTTGAGAGCTGTATTTTTTGCACTTTAGAAAAGAAAAGCTTTTTATTCTGTGTGTTTTGAAGGTGTGTGCTGCTGTGTGCACTGTGTAGGGGTGAACTAGGCATACAAAAACCAAAGTGAAGGGATAGTTGGCAACTTAGCATGATGCTACCAATTGAAAGTCTCCTTTAAATGTACTTAAAACTATTTTAATTTTCTGAGCACTGAAAGCTTAAACTGTTACTGTCTAAACTTCTTGTGCGGCTTTAATTTGCATGTAGATTTGGCCTTAATGGTTTTCTTTTTCATTGTCACTGTCTGTTTCCTTTTGTTTAAATTTATCTTGTTATTTTATTCCTTAGCTCTGCTAGCAACCGAATAATTGGTGCTAAGGATCATGCTTCTATTCAGATAAATATTTCTGAGGTAAGTTTCATAGCAGAAGAACGTGATGAGAGAACTACACCTATAAACTTTTGATAGAAGTTAAGAAATATAACAGCTTGTGCTGCATCTCCAGATAATTCACTAGAGACCATATAAGTGTAGAGCTTGAGGGCTTTCAAACATACAAATATATTACTATGTCACCCCTGGTTATTTTTCAGCCCATTGGAAAATACTCATTATAGGGAGTTTCATAAAGCTCTGTATAGTCTGTTAACTGTTTGACTAAATAGAAGTTCCTAATTAGATATTTAAAGTTATAAATTAGGAAATTCCTTGGCCTTCTGCCTTCACCTATCTGTAAGAAAGTACTGTTCTTCAGGCTGTCCTTGTGCACCATTTTTTAATTTTTTATTCTTGTTGATCTCTGTGCTTTTTCTAGTTTGTCCAGCCTTCAAGAAAGATACAGTTTGCAGAGCAGAACTCTATTTCTGTTCTACTTTGCCTAACTAAAATGCCATCTTCCATGTTTTGCTTGCATCATTTCTGTTAATTCTTGATACTGCTGCTCTTGATAGGTGACAAGTGAGATTGCTTGTGTGTTTTGTGTGCAGCATTATCATTTCATTAACTCAGTGCTCGGGATATTATATGCTTAGAATTTTTCCTGAGGCATGCTGGTTATTTGTATTGACTTGGTCTTGTACATGTAGTTTTCTTTCTGTAACATAAGGAATTTGTTCTTGTCTAAGTTTAATTTCATCTTTTCAAGGTAGCATTATTGTGAATCCCTCCAAGCTTAACATAAATGCTGAGAAAACCACAGTAGACTTGACTCCTGCAGGATCTCAGTTAATGCACGTGGGCTCCAGTTAATTTAAACTCCTTTCAGTGTGCTTTTTTCCCCTCCACTTGTTTATTGGTATTCACCTTGCAGGAATTCTGTGGACACAACGTTCCTATAGCTTATGAGCTATGTAGCTTGATTTATTTGTTCTTGAATGGGAGACCACAAGACTATGTCCCGTGTTTTTAAACAACTGAATCTCTTGTGTTATCTGTCTGACTAAAGAAATCATTTTAAAAAATGCTCTGTTTGCGATTTCCTGTAAATGTTAAGGCGAATACTTTTCTTGTTCACCGTGTTTCATTCCTTCAGTCATCCCTATTCCTTGTTCTCAAAGGATCAGAGATTAGCAGAACTCAAAAACAAACCCATGTAGTATTACAGGGTTCACTACACTGTTTAAGTTCATGATTTATATTGTTTAGTCTTTTTTTCCTGTTAAATTTCTCAGCAACTGGAGGAAGTGAGACAATGTGTGTGCCTCAGCTTGGGCATTTTTCTACCTGTGTAACAAGACTGTCTCCTTCCCTTTTTCACTTCAATTTTCCTTAATACTGATCTTAATGAAAAGAAACATGAAAAAATTAACAAAGGCAGTAAAATCCACAAGTAAACTTTACATTGAATTCTTACATTTTTTAAGAACTCAAGCATTTTCCTTTTTTTAGCCACCATTTTCTGTGGTGTTCTTGTTACGCTGTCTGATCCATTAAACTTTATAGCTGTGCTATGTAATAAACTATAAATTTGCTGGGAAAAGATATTCTATAGCTGTCTTTCTAACTTCAATATTTGCCTTGGGTTTTTGTAGTTTGCAGAAAAACATTTGCAGAATTTTAACAAACAATTTTTATCTTTGCGTGCTTGGCAAGTGTGATGTAAGAGTATAAAATTTTAAAAGAATCTGTGTGGAGTAACTTGTGTGCAATTACAGGTTGACAAGGTAACAGGCAGAGTAAATGGCCAGTTCAAAACATATGCCATTTGTGGAGCAATTCGTAGAATGGTAAGTACTTTCTTGACCTACAAAATGATTGTGCATCTTTTTATATTGATTAGTAATTTTTTAGATTGATATTTGGCCCTGAAAACACAATGTGCCTTCAGCTCATTCTAGAGGAAGAGCTTTTGTGGGGATAATGAAGACAGAGTGAAGACATGAACAAATTCACTTGCAAGAATCAGTTTCTTCTGTTTTTTTCCTCGTTCCTTTGGTTTGTAGAATTATGGGGGGGGGGGTTGGTTTTTTGTTTTTTTTTTTTTAAATCAGTGAAGGATGCAAATGGATTTTTTTTCTTCTAAGAATGTACCAAGCTACTAACATCTGGCTTTTATCTGTTGTTTACAATTATTAGAGATGATACTGCCATAACTTAAATTTCTTAAACATGGTGTGAAGCTTCTTAGAGTTCATCAGAAGTCTGCTTACCCAGAAATATATCTTATTAAAGCAAGTGTATATTTTATCAAATTAAAACTATTTCTTACCCTAAAGGATGACAAATAATTAACAGCTTGTTTTGAAAATGCTAATCTGTGCATATAAAATGTAGTGATCTGCAGAAAGCGTTCTGCATTTCACTACCAGCATTAAATGCTGCAGCTGCCTCTCTTTTTAATAGTGTATCAGCAATTATTTGGTCACTTTATAATCATCTTTTATTTTTTTAAAGGGTGAATCGGATGACTCCATTCTGCGTCTGGCAAAAAATGATGGAATTGTTTCCAAGTACGTATGTTTATCTTATCCTCTAACTCTTAAAGGAGTAACTTCCATACCCAAATCCAACTTCTAGGATGAAAATGTATACACTGTATTTATAGGATCACTACATAGTCGGTCAAAAATATTTACTTGAGCTGTTGAAGCAAACTGGTTTGTAACAATGTTTGTTTCATTTTCTTCTAGGAACTTCTAACTGAAGAACCTCTGGTATGGAACATCTGATATAAAATAAACAGTTCAAACCTGTATTGTGCTGTGTCTTCTGTTCAACTCATAAACATCAGTGGATTTATTATAGCTAGTCTTAAAAGACTTAGAAATGTGTGTTTTCAAAAGATACACAGATTATGATTAGGAATCTTAAAACAAATCAGCTTGTAAAGCAGTGCCAGAGTTGAAAATCAAGAATTTCCACTTCACTCTTTGGTTCCCTATCACCTTTCTTTTCCAGATTTAATAAGTTTTGCAATTGTAGCTCAACTCCTTTCTTGATCTGTAACGGAACATTTTGCAATATAGCAATCTAATTCAGCTTGCTGAATTAGACCTTGCAGTACTATATCCTGACACCTCTGCTTTGTGTGCCAAAATATGCCAGAAGTATGTTGTTTCAAGGCCTTTTTTTTTTTTTTTTCTTCTTTGATCAGCTCTTCACATTCAGCTTTGGTATTGCATTTGGAAAGTGCTGTGCTCAAGGTGCTATAGCTGTGCTAATGAACCTTTGGGATCTTGCGACTCATTCTAGTGGGCCATAGTGCTTTTGGCAGTATTACAACTTTGTGAAGTCTTAACAGTGTTAAGCTGTGTATTAAATTGCAAAAGCTCTACACAATCTTTATTTTCCTCTACTTTCTGCAGAAATTGAGAAACTGAATGCAGTTAGTGCTAAGCTAGGAGCAACTGCTGGCACTAAGATACAGGTATAAGAAAAGCAAAGGGTGTTCAGAGACGAGCAGACACTTTTTACTTTGTGTCTTAAAGTGTCTAGTTCAAATCATTGGCACCTCTATTGGGAAAAGAGATTTCTGACTTTGGCTGTAATTCCACAAGGACTTAAAAGCGTGATGTCTTTCTAGTGGTATAATGTCTCTCTTTTGCAGGAGGGATACAAGGGCTATATCCATTCTTCCAGGTGCTGCTCTTGTGTTGGTAGATTTTGTTTGCACACAGCAGGTTTATTTGTCAGTTGGTGCTTATCACTTCAATAGAATGTCATGTATGGTTTTGGTACTTTTAAAATATGCTAGTGTGATGTCACTAGTATTGAAAATTTCCAGCCAGCCACATTTTTACCAATTTCATAGTATCTACAGCTATACACAGGCTGGCCTTCAGTTGGTGTGTTCTGATCTGTGCGTTCTCAAGAACTACTGAGAGAGGTTATATCGAGTTTACACCATGTTCACTGCTGTGGGATCATCTCTAGGCCAATGTTTGGAGTTGTCCTTACTCAAATCTCTGCATAGGCCCTCTCTCAAAGTTTTCTTAAGTGATACAAACTGTTTGGTGCTGCTTTCCTGTTTATGCTGCAAGCTGTCTCCATGTAGAGCTGGTTACCATGTGGCTTATTTCTGACTTACTTGCAAGTTACTGTGAACGCGTGTGGGTGTGGTAAACTTAAGCCTTAGGCTTCTCTCAGGAGAGCCTGGAATAGGGATGCTATCACCTCTGAACTAAGGAGAAGGATGGCTGAACTACCCAAGTGTATTATCTTTCTCCTTACCTGTATTTTTCTTACTTCTCAGACGTGTCAAAATGCAGCATGTTTCTTTGGAAGATCTTGTCTTGACACCATGGATGTTTATTGAGTGTAAGCAGAGCAAATCAGGCCATGTTAATGTGTAGTTGCAGTGTGGTGTGGGTTTTAATTTTAATCTTTTTTTCAAATCATTAAGTGAATTAGGATTTCAAGTGTAAGCCACTGTGTGGATATAATGAAGTACGTGACTAAACCTTTGTTTCAGAAGCAATTTCATCAGAAAAAAACAAAAAGGCTGTTAACCTTTTTTAGCATAGCTGTAAACTAAAACATCTTTGGTTGCACATTCTGTCTTCCCACTGACAATGCTTGAATTTACTAGTCCTCCTCCAAGCTGATAGATCTTTTAAAAGGTAAACTCCTGAATGTTTCAAGTAAGGGGGAACTCGGCTAAAAAGACCCGAAAAAAGGCTTCATACGTTGAAGCCTTTTTCAACGTGTTGAATTCATGTTGAACTTAATAATACAGAAAGCACATGAGATATGTTTTAAATACCACAAGCAGAAAAAAAATGAACCCACACTTTATTTTTGAGCTATTTTCTTCTAACATCTAAGTCAACCATGAAAGATGCATTAAAACAAAAAAAAAAAAAAAAGAGGAGGACTGTTAGTTGTGATTCTCCTGGAAATAATTCATTTTTCCAGTAGATAAATCTCTGAAAACACTTTCTGGAAAGACAAATACAGTCTCCAAACTGGAGAGATTTTGGCTTGGCTTATGTCCAATCCTCATTACTTTCCTTTGCACACAGTAAAAGGAGATAAGTTTTAATTTGACTTGATGTTTCTTTCTGACATATCTTAAATTAGCTGCTTCTGCCTTGGCATTAGGGTAGAACTTTAAATAAAACCAGTAACTGTTTGCTGCTGGTAAATCCCTCATTTACCAAAGAGTTTAAATATTGTTGACTTGCTTCTAATCCCCTGCGACTCTGTTCATCCATGTGGATTTCAGTGGAATTCCTCCATAAGGCAAAGTGAACTGACAGCTTAAAAGCTCAAGATGAACTTGAGGTCTCTCAGATGTCTTTTTAAGCAATAAAACTCCATATAGCATACAGCTATACCAAATTTACACTTCTGCTTTGCTTTGTGATACTGATTGTTGCCATTTGTTTTTCAGAATTTTAAAAAATTGAAACAAATTATTTTTTCATTAATTTCTTGTCAAAATAAGCTTATGAAATGTTATGTGCCATACCCTAAACCCTAGTTCAATTGGAAATGGATTAGTGCTGTGCTAAAGACTTCCTGAAGTTCACACCGTCTTCACCAGCAAGACTGCATGGCACATGAAGTCTTACAAAAATTCTGCAGAATCTTAACAAGGGAGAATGTGTCCCTTTAAAAAAACAATTTTGAGTTTCATTTTCTAGTATTGTGATGTAAAATGTTCTTTGTTTTCCTGGGACAGGAATAGTTCAGATCTTCTAGAGCCATGAAAGGGAATGAACTGTACTTGTACTGTACAAGATGGACAGAGTTGCCCTTACATGGTTACATTGCACCAAGTCGTGAAATTCTTTTCTGTTACTTACAAGGACTTGGCAGTGGCATCCTAAAGACATCTGATTTAACTGGGGCTATTTTAGTGTCTTTGGCCAAAATTTTGCTGCTCAGACAAGCCTATCTACTCTGTAAAACACCTGGGGCTTTTTTGGTAGGACCTTGTAGATGCCTCATAACACTGATTTTTTTTCTTTTGAGCCTTGACATTCTTTTAATGAACTACATGGTGCTGAAAAGCTTTAGTCAATCTCAGCTGTAAGTGTATTGTGATCAGAGGTCCAGGGTTAGGAGGCCACTGCATCTTCTATTGCTGGGGCCACAGAATTAGCAGCTTTGGTAACATCACACTTGCTTGCAAGGTGCCAAACAGGCAAAATGCTGCCAAGGCTGGGAAAAGACAAGAGGCAACAAGCTTCCCTGGCGTCATTCGTGCTTCACTGAAGAAAGGAGCACTGTGACTCAGAAAAGGAATAAAAAAGGCCAAAAGTGTCTTTCACCTTCGTGTATATCCATTACTGCTGCTTTCTTCTTCCCAGCTTAAGCTCCCAAGGAGTGTGTGGAGCAGAGGCTGTCTCACTAGTGCTCCTTACAGAAAGGAAGCTGGGACAGCTTGTGAGGGATATAGTTTATTTTTCTAAAGCATGCAGTGATGCTGGAGGCTGCTGAAAGCCTACCTAGAGGACTGAGCTAAGCTGTTAAACTAGATTTGGCAGCAATTTTGGTTTTCAGTTGTATGTTAGGGAGAGCTGTCTATTCCTATCTCCTGTTTTGTTCAGTTGCTGTCAGTCTTCTTGATACACAGAGAGAATAACACCTCTGCTGCAAACATTAATTTGAACAGGTTAAGGGAGGTTTTGATTTTAGTTAATTCATTGATGACCGTTTGTGTTGAGGCATCACAGGGGAAGCAGCTTCCCCATATGTATGTTGGACTAATCAGCCACGGAAAAAATATAGAAAACTAATCAGGCTTTTTTTCCTGCTGGGAAATACACTATTGTTTAATATTAGCCAGGAGTTCTTGACTAAATCCTCAACAGGAACTGCAGGATTAAGAATTAAGAACAATTAATAAGGTCAACAGGATTTTTTTAAATGTATTGTGATGAAAAAGGTATTATTTTAACATCTATTCTCACATAGCCAATAGCGAGTAAAACAAATGTGGCCAGGCTGAACCAAGCATATTATTCTGCAGCGTACGTACCTGAGCTTTAGTGTGTTAATAAATCACGTTCTGTGGTTTCTTTCTACTGGACTGGGACTGTGAAGAAAAGCAGATACATGCCTCTTCTGCTGAGGATGCGGGACCCTCAGTCTGGGAGCAGAGCGTTAGCTCATTTTTGCAGGGCTGTGGCGGGTTGACCATGGCCGGCTGCCAGGCGCCCGCCCAGCCGCTCCCTTGCTCCCCCTCCTCCACAGGACAGAAAATGAGATGGAAAAGCTCGTGGGTGAAGGCAGGGAGATCGCTTACCAATTAGCGTCATGGGCAAAACAGGAAAATTAATTTATTGCTTATTAAAACGGAGCTGGATGGCGAGAAACCCCTACCCCCTTTTCTTAGGTTCGGCTTCAGGGCAACACCCGCTCTGGCTCCCAGAGCTCCCCATCCTCCCCCAGCGCTCACAGGGCTGTCTCTCACAACCATTGTGGTTTTTTTTTACCTCACCCATTTTGCCCGTTCTCACACCCGTTTCCCAGCCACGGCCCGGCACTGCTGAGGCGCTCGCCTGTGCCCTGTGGTGAGGCGGCTGGAACCGGCCGGAACCGGCTGCGTCCGGCATGAGGCGGCCCTGCTTCTCCTCACAGAGGCACCCACACCCGGCACAACTCTCGTCCCGATCAAAAGGGAGTTAAAATGAAAACCTTTGGTGCTACAGCTGGTGATGGCTTCAGAAATGCCTCGCTTTTGTGTTGCTCTTCTCCTGCAGCAGATCTCCACCGGCTCTGTGGGGGGATATGTCTATTTATCCAG